GCTCCAAACCAGCCCCAGAAGCACCACCACCCGCCTCAAGACGGTTTCAGGAGCTCCCCCAAGGGCGCCCACACCGCCCAAGAGGTCCAAAAGCCGCCCCAAGAGATCTCCAGTACAGCCCAAGGAGGCACCGAGTCGCCCCCGAGCCGCCAGACAATCACTCCCAGACGTCTGTGGTCGCCTCCAGATAGTCCACCTACTCCCAAGGCGCTCCACGAAGGCTTCCCGTTGGCTCAAAAAGCTCCCCAGACGCTTCACGAAGGTTCCCGGACGGTTCCCAAGATGGGCATAAAGAGGGTTATCCGAAGGTTTTTGGTGGTTTTTGTGGGCTTTCGCTTTTCTGGCTTGCCGACGCTCCAAAGCTCATTGGTCCTAAACATACCCTTATCCAGGGCCGGCCTGGGTGAAAGGACCGTCCGCTGGATTGGGCGCTTGCCAACGTGCCCGATCAGCCTGCCGCGTGCGCGCTGGTTCAGCATCCGCGCGTCAGGACGACACGACACGCTGAATGGCTGTTTGTTTGATTGCAGCGACATGCCCTTGTTTGCGTCAGGGACGTCTGGGGGCATCGGGGGTTTCTGCGGGGTTTAGAACAGCATTGGAGTGGTGGTGCCTGTCCCATCTGGTGACAGGCACCACCACTCCGTTGCGTTGGGTCCTGCCCGCAGGAGCGTCGTTGCAATCTCACGCTCCCCCTGGGGCCGCTGCGGCCGCGTTCGTGAGAGCTCTGGGGGGCCGCGCGTGCGCCCGAGAGCGATTTCGGCCAAACGCCACCTCGGCTCCCGAGGCGCTCCACGAAGGCTTCCAGAAAACACAACACGCTCACCAAACGCTCCACGAGGGTTCCCAGGCGGTTCCCAAGATGGCCCCAAGAGGCGCGAGTCATTGGTTTTCCATATGTTTTAGACCGTTTTTTGGGCTTTCGCCTTTCTGACTTGCCGACGCTCCAAACCAGCCCCAGAAACACCAGCCCCTTCTTCAAGACGATTTTGGGGGCTCCCCCCAAGGGCGTGGACAGCCTGAGAAGGCCCCAAGAGGCTTTTCGATGCTTTTTGAATTTCCGTTGTTTCCTACCATCCTGTGGTGTTGGGTCTTCGTTTTGAAGAGACGGTCCCCGCGTTCACTCGTCCTCCTCTCGCTGCTCCCTTTTTCTTTCTCGCATCATCATCATCAGCATCATCATCATCATCATCCTCATCATAATCACCATCATTATCATCATCATCATCATCATCATCATCATCATCATCATCATCATCATCATCATCATCATCATCATCATCATCATCATCATCATCATCATCATCATCATCATCATCATCATCATCATCATCATCATCATCATCATCATCATCATCATCATCATCATCATCATCATCATCATCATCATCATCATCATCATCATCATCATCATCATCATCATCATCATCATCATCATCATCATCATCATCATCATCATCATCATCATCATCATCATCATCATCATCATCATCATCATCATCATCATCATCATCATCATCATCATCGTCATCGCCCGTTTCAGCACGCACACCCTTCAAACGTTTCGTGGCCCCATAGAGAGCTTCACCAAAGGCCCAAGTGTCAGCGTTCGCATGCGCCCACTGCACTCATTTTGGCACACCTTCCACACGTTCCTTGGCCCCACAGGGAACCCCAGCGAAGGCCCAAATGCCAGCATTCGCATGAGGCCACCGCGCCCATTTTGGCACACTCCTCACATTGTTCGTGGTCCCACAGGGCGCTCAGCGAAGGCCCAAATGCCAGCGTTCGCATGCGGCCACCGCACCCATTTGTGGCACACCCCTCACACGTCTCGTGGCCCCACACGGAAACCCACCGAAGGCCCAAATGCCAGCGTTCGCATGCGGTCACCGCAAGCATGTGACACAGTCCTCACACGTTTCGTGGCCCCACAGGGAGCCCGACCGAAGGCCCAAATGCTAGCGTTCGCATGCGCCCACCGCGCCCATTTTGGCACACCCCTCGCACGTTTGGTAGCCCCACAGGGAGCTCCTCCGAATGCACAACGACGGTGTTCACAACTGCATATGGTCGGGTCTTTCGCCGGGCTATTTTCGGCTCGCCGACGCTCTAAATCAGCTCTGGAAGCGCGGGCACCCGCTTCAAGACGGGGTCAGAGCATCCCCCCAAGGGCCCATTGTGCCCAAGAGGCCGCAAAGCTGCCCCCCGACACCTACAGGCACAGAGGCGACCCCGAGTCGCCGGAAACTCACTCCCAAACGTCCGTTGTCGCTTCCAGATGGCCCACCACGCTCCCAGGGCGCTCCACGAAGGCTTCCAAACGGCCCAGCACGCTCCCCCACACGCTCCAAGAGGGTTCCCAGACGTCTCCAACAGGGCGCCAAGAGGCAAAACCCATTTGCTCCCTATTGTTCCCAACCATCCTGTGGTGTTGGGTCCTCGTTTTGAAGAGACGCTTCCCGCGTTCACTCCTCATCCTCCCGCTGCCCCCTCCCTCTTCCTCTCATCATCATCATCATCGTCGTCGTCGTCGTCGTCATCATCATCAACCGTTTCAGCACACCCATCACACGTTTCGTGGCCCCATAGGGAGCCCCGCCGAAGGCCCAAATGCCAGCGTTCGCATGCGGTCACCGCACTCATTTTGGCACACCCCTCACCCGTTTCGTGGCCCCACAAGGAGCCCCAGCGAAGGCCTAAATGTCAGCGTTCGAATGCGCCCACCGCACGCATTTTGGCACATCCCTCACACGTTTCGTGGCCTCACAGGAAGCCCCGCCGAAGGCCCAAATGCTAGCGTTCGCATGCGCCCACCGCACGCATTTTGGCACACCCCTCACACGTTTCGTGGCCCCACAGGGAGCCCCACCGAAGGCCCAAATGCCAGCGTTCGCATGCGGGCACCGCTGGCATTTTGGCACACCCCTCGCACGTTTCGTGGCCCCACAGGGAGCCCCAGCGAAGGCCCAAATATCAGCGTTCGAATGCGGCCGCCGCACCCATTTTGGCACACCCCTCACCCGCTTCGTGGCCACACATGGAGCCCCACCGAAAGCCCAAATGCCAGCGTTCGCATGCAGTCACTGCGTCCATTTTGGCACACCCCTCGCACATTTCGTTGTCCCATACGGCACCCCACCGAAGGCCCAAATGCCAGCGTTTGCATGCGGTCACCGCGCCCAGTTTGGCACACCCCTCACACGCTTCGTGGCCCCACAGGGAGCCCCACAGAAGTCCCAACTGCTAGAGTTCGCATGCGGTCACCGCATGCATTTGGCACACCCTTCACACGTTTTGTGGCCCCACAGGTAGCCCCACCAAAGGCCCGAATGCCAGCGTTAGCACGCGGCCACCGCGTCCATTTTGGTACACGCCTCATACGTTTCGTGGCCCCAGAGGGAGCCCCACAGAAGGCTCAATGACCTGCGTTCGTATGCGGCCACCGCTCCCATTGTGGCACACCCCTCACACGTTTCGTGGCCCCACAGGGAGCTCCGCCGAAGGCCCAAATGCCAGTGTTCGCATGCGGCCACCACACCCATTTTGGCACACCCCTCACACGTTTCGTGGCCCCACAGGGAACCCCACCGAAGGCCCAAATGCTAGCGTCCGCATGCGGTCACTGCATGCCTGTGGCACACCCCTCACACGCTTCGTGGCCCCATAGGGAGCCCCGCCGAAGGCTCAAATGCCAGCGTTCGCATGCGGTCACCGCACTCATTTTGGCACACCCCTCACCCGTTTCGTGGCCCCACAAGGAGCCCCAGCGAAGGCCTAAATGTCAGCGTTCGAATGCGCCCACCGCACGCATTTTGGCACACCCCTCACACGTTTCGTGGCCCCACAGGGAGCCCGATCGAAGGCCCAAATGCCAGCGTTTGCATGCGCCCACCGCGCCCATTTTGGCACACCCCTCACACGTTTGGTAGCCCTACAGGGAGCTCCACCGAATGCGGTGCATACGACGACGGTGCTCACAACTGCACATGGTTGGGTCTTTCACCAGGCTTTTTTTAAAATGTTTTTGAGCTTCCGCCTTTGCAAGTCAGAAGGTAGGCAACCATCCACGAATAATCAACGAAACGTCAAGACCTGTCCGAGCCCCAGGACCGGAAAAGAGGGCCCACGTCGTCGTCGTCGTCGTCGTCGTCGTCGTCGTCGTCGTCGTCGTCGTGGGCCGCGGAGGTTCCGCCAGGAGGGAAAGGGGTCCTGCAGGAAATGAGTCCACAGGTTTTTGACGTTTTCGGCCTCCTGGGGCCCTCCCTGATGGTCAAACTCCGAAAGGCTTCGAACCTCGACGTTCGAACCTCGTCCCTCCCCTCCTCGAGGCGTCAGACGGCTTCTGATCGAGGGCGGAGGAGGAGGAGGAGGAGGAGGAGGAGGAGGAGGAGGAGGAGGAGGAGGAGGAGGAGGAGGAGGAGGAGGACGAAGAGGAGGAGGAAGAGGATGAGGGGAGGAGCAGAGAGCAGGAGGGAGGAGGAGGGAGGGGGCTCCCGCGAGGGCCCCAATATGCTCCCGCAGGCCCCACAGAAGGCTTTCACGATGCCGCCTCCACGAGGCCGTAGAGAGATTCCAATGAGATATCCCAGATGGCGGATCTGGGGCACACAGGGAGCAGGCGAGGAGGAGGAGGAGGAGGAGGAGGAGGAGGAGGAGGAGGAGGCGAATGATGATGAGGAGGACAGCGGGAGCAGGGGAGGAGGGGGGCACAGAGGGAGCAGGACAGGAGGAGAAGGACCATAGATGAGCAACGAGGGAGCAGGGAGAGGGGAAAGGGAGAACCACGGAGAGAGCAGAAGAGGAGGAGCAGGCGGAGGAGGAGGAGCAGCAGGAGGAGGAGGAGGAGGAGGAGGAGGAGGAGGAGGATGATGAGGAGGAGGAGGAGGAGTAGGAGGAGGAGGAGGAGGAGCGAGAGGCACGATGACAGGAGAGGCCCGATGCGGACGGAGGCTCCGCAAAGCCGTCGTGCAGGGAGATTCGCGATGCCGCCCCGCGAGGGCGAAAAGCGAGACCCGCGGCCTGGCTGCGGCTAGAGTCCAGGCGCGCACAGCGCGCGCGTGGAGGCCCCTGCCTGACAGGCTCGGCGGATGCTCCGCACCGGTGGCTCGACCGCTCGCCTCCGCCGGCCCCGCCCGCGGCGCCCTCCGCGGCCGCAGCGCGCCGCGCGCCTCCGCGGTGCCGCCGGTTGTCGCTGGCGGCCGCTGGCGCGGGCCGTCGCCGATTGGATCGCCGCCAGCGGGCGCCGTCGGTCAGTCCGCCGAAGTCGGCCATGACTGAGAAGTGGGAGGGCAAGCTCTGCCTGCCTCCAGGCAGCAGCTGTCTCGGGCCTCTTGAGGTTCTCGCTCTCTAGCGACGAGCGTCTGCCGGCGCATGGAGCGTCGCTGCGTATGTGGACACATGCGGGGTGGATGCGTCCATAGACTCGGATCCAGGCCACTTGCGAGCAGTCAAGGGTGTTGGTGATGAGTTGGACTCGCAAAAGAGATAGAGCGCGCCATTGATAACTTGTGGAATATCGCGCCGTTGATCACTTTTTGGAATCGAGTCACTCGAGAGCAGTGGAGCGCGCTTGCCCAGAGCGGGGGGGCCCCTCCCCTCCCCCGGCCGGCAGGCTCCCGCTGGCGCCGCCGGCGCGGGCGCCGTGGGCGCGGGCGCGGGCAGCGCCTCCGCGAGGCTCCGAGCGCGTCTCCCGCCCTCCGCACGGGGGTCGCAGCGGCATCGGCGGCACGCCGCCGTGGGGGACCCGCCGGCGTGTCGCTGTCGAGGAGGCGCACCGGGCCTGCGGACCAAGAGCGCTGTCGAGCAGCACGCGGACGGGCCACCAGCGGCAGCGGCGGGCCACCGGTGCTCCGTCTCCCTCCCGCCGAGCTCCTCTCCGGAGCTCGCCGGTCGGCCCAAGCGGGGTCGAAGTATGGGTGGGTCAGGCGTTGGTTTCAGGGCCCCTCCTGGGGCCCACCTGACGGATCAGGTCCACTCTCCAGTTCATGGTTCGAGTTTGGTTCGGTTTTAACTCACGGAGGTTCGATGGAAGTTCGACTCACGCCGGCGGCCGTTCCGCGCAGCATCGACGCACGAGTGGAGCGAGTGGCTCCAGGAAGTTCCCCAGGACGAGCACCAAGGATGTGGACGGTGGACCGCGCCGTATCTCTGATGCAACGGCGACGGGGCTCGATTCGGTGCTCGATTTTCTCCATCCTGGACTTCGCCGATGCATCGGCGATGCGGCGCGATCCTCCGACCCCAGTTCTGCGCGGACCCCGCTCGGCCGACGCTCCACTCCTTTCGACGGCGAGCCTGGGGGGGAAACGACAAGGGGCGGGCCTTCTCAGAAGGTTCGGAATATCGGGCGTTCGGAGAGATTTTCTAAGCCTTCCCCGAAGACGCAGAAACCTTCTCAGAAGACTGGAGGGCTTCTGAGAGACCCTGCCGCCTTTGAGAAGGCCTTCTCCTCCTCACTTCCCCCCCCCGCTCGCCACCGATCCTTTTCCCCAGGAGGCGCTCACGAGCCGAGGTTCGAGGATCCAGGTGTTCTCAGGAGGAGAAAAAACATACAGACACAATTAATCGTCGATTCCCTAGAAAATATGGGAAAATATGGGAAGTGGGGGGGAAGACAGAAACCCAGAAAATATGGGAAAATATGGAGAACCCTTTTATTTGTGTGTATTTATTTGTGTGTCCTGGGGCCCCTTCGTGCCCTGATGCTTTTGGAACTTTTTGGGGTCTCCCGTGGCGCCTCCCGTGCTCGCGGCCGGGTCCGCCCCGGAATGCCCGCAAGGGGGCGCAACTTCAGACAGGTCCAGGGGTCGGTTTCCGGCAGGGGTCGACCTGTGGCGAGGAGCCAGTCTCGGGGGCGGGGTCGGGAGCTCGGGGGTGTGCGTCTTCAGACAGAGATTTTGAGGACGACGACGACTGCCACGACCACGACCGCGGCCACGACCGAGACCACGACCACGACCACGACGACGACGAGGACGAGGACGACGACGGGGACGAGGACGACGACGACGACGCCGACGCCGACGCCGACGCCGACGCCGACGATTACGACGGACGACGATGTCGACGATGACGACGGACGACGGACGACGGACGACGGACGACGTACGGACGGACGGACGGACGGACGGACGGACGGCCGGACGACGACGACGACGACGACGACGACGATCACCACCACCGCCAGGAGGACGACGAAGCTCCTCTCGTCCGAGCTGCCCGCGTAAGCTTTTCGGTGTCTTGCGATTCCGATTGAGTTTGTTTCGGTTTCCTAGGGTGGTTCTCCAATGTGTAAGCTACCGCAAGGCCTCAGTTCAGAGGTGCACCCACGAGGGCATATTCTTCTGGCGTCGCCCCGTCTCCAGGGAACGGTTCATGTTAACAAAAACACCACCACGTCGGGAAGCTGGTAATATTGCAGGCCGTTGGTTGAAGGTTCATTGCTGATCATGGCGTGTTGAAGCCAGCTTAGGGCTGATGTGGCCCAGCATTGGTTCAGGCCAGCAGAAAGCGGGGGAGCAAGGAGTCCCCTCGTCACCACGGCTAGGCGCGGCTCGAACAGTTGGTCGGTTTCGCTTTCCAGAGAGGTTTTGGGACCGATTTTGAGCGGATGTGCCTTCGCCCCCCGCCTCTTCACAGTTTTTCGCGGAGCCCATGCAGCGCATACCCTCCGGCCGCCTCCAACCCGAGTGATGCTTCTGATTGCTGACAAGCTTCCATGCTGAATCTGGCCTCCCGCTGAATGCTTGGAGTATTTAAATGACGAACCAACAACACACACCCACACCCATAGGGGATCGGAGAGGGCTATGGGTGCGTGTTGTCGGATGGGGGTCCCCGCTCGAACGGGAGCGTTCCCCAGGGCCTGACAACCCGTACCCATACCCATAGCCAGTCCTCCTCCCAACGACCCCCCTATGGGTATGGGTGCGTGTTGTTCGTTCGTCATTAAATGAGAGCTCAAGATGTCCTCCAATGCATATCCAGGGTCAAGTCTAGTGGCCTTCGACCGATCTCGCCACCGTGCCCGGGTTGTCGGTCAGAGGCTTCTTGGCTGCCCGTGACGATGTGTTGGGAGCCTTCTTGTGAGCCTCTTGGAGTTGGTTTGGGGGAAGTTCTGGGGCGTCTCGAGGGCCTCTTTGGTGGCCTTGGGGGGGCCTCTCAGGGGCTTGATTTGGGCCTCTCGAGGCCTCAGGGTACGGTGGCGGATGTGGTAGCGACTGTAGGATTATGTACGAGAATATGAAACACTGGCGGAGACAACCGGAACCCGTCACTGCAGCCCCAGGGGCCCCATTAGATGGTCGTTTTCGGTTTTTACGGGCTCATTTTCTGCGAGGTCGCCGTTCCCACCCCTGCGCGGGATCCTGTCCCCAAAGTGTGTGTGTGTGTGTGTGTGTGTGTGTGTGTGTGAATTTCCGCTTTCATTGGTTGTGTTTTTGTTACGTTTCCGTTACATTTTTTGTTTTGTGGTGTTTTTTGGTGTTTCTTTGGTGTTCGTCTATTTTTGTCGCGGCCCCCGCTCGATGCATCCTCACAACAACGGAACTACGCGTGGTATTTGTGTGGTGTTCTAAGGTGTTTGCCCTTGTGATGAAATGGCAGAACGGAAACCCCAAAACCCAGAACGACGTCCGAAACTGTAAAACGGCAATCAACACCCATGTGCCAGCACCGCTGCATGGATCCATATCTCCCGCCACTTCCCTTTCCATTTCCGCATCTTTTCTCCGCCATTTTTGGATGCTCGGTATCCGTTCTGACGTCGTTTCATTTCCGCGTTGCATGTCCATTGCTATTGGAATTTGTTAGACCAGTTTCCGAACGGCATTCAAAAATGAATACCAACTGAACCTCTCAATGGTTGCTTTTGGCACTTCTTCCCCCCCTCTCTCTCCTCCTCCCCCTCCTCCCTCCCCCTCCCTCCCCGTCCCTGCAATTCTTTCTCCTCCCCAGGACAGTCAATCGTGGCCCGATCCTTGTGTGTGACTTTCGGGCCAGTTCAACCCGCGAAGATCCTGGGTGGCCCGACTCGGGGCGAATGCATACGTCGAGATTTTGCCCCGACGCCCGGAGGTCGAGGGGTTCTCCACGTCGGTTGACTCTGGGGGCCTCGGGGGCCTCCAGAGGTCCCTGGAGGTCCCTGGAGGTCTCCAGAGGAGGTCCCGGGAGGCGCCCTAGAGACCTCGATGGGGCTTTCGGATGTACATTGTGGGCTCCACCACGTGCCGGCACATTTTGTTTTTTTGTTTTTGTTTTTTTTAAAGATTAATGTGCCGGCATAACCTGCAGCCTGAAGCAAAACAAGCCGCATACAATAGCCATATGCTTGCCGCCGACGAAGCAGAACTGTTCTGCAGATTTCCGCGTCCATCCAGAAGTGTTCCGTAACCGACTGAGAATGCTCAATCGTGCCAACACCCCCCTCCTTAGACTCCAATGCCGCGAATCAACTTTATTGTTGCTTCCTGGCGATCCGTAATGGTTCGGGTATAGCCAGGACCCTAGCAAAGGGGGCCCGGTTAGTGGTAGGGCTCCAGAGCCCCTACATTGGCCAGAATCACTAAACCAGGTCTGCCATAGCTGGTGTTTTTTCGGGTGATGACAGTTCCGGTTAGTGGGACGGGGTGGGGGGCCGTCCCCAGTACACATCATTAAATCAGGTCCCACTACACCTAGTTCTGCCAACGCCCGAATGGTGCCAGAAGACCATTTCTGGGATTTCAGTTCCGCGAATCAGCGTGACTGTTGCGCCCTGACAATTCTAAGTCTTGCGAGAACACAGATCCTGGGACGGTCAAGCATGATAATCTGTTAATGTGATTTCAATTTTTACAACGAATGTGCGCGGCGCTCAGGCGAGATCCACATTTTGAAAAAGAGCGGTCTTCCATTTGTGAAACTCGAGTAAAATTTTCAGACGAATGTGCGCGGCGCCAAGGCGAGAACAACATTCAGAAAACCACTCGCCCTCCATCCGTGAAGCCCTGGCAACCTTTTGAGACGAATGTGTGTGTGTGGCGGGAAGGCGAGAGCCACATTTGGAAACGGAGCCGCGCTCCATCTGTGAAGCTCATGCAATTTTTGAAGCTGAATGTACACGGGGCCAAGGCGAAAGCCACATTTTGAAAACCATCCGCCCTCCATCCGTGAATTTCTTGCGTTGCAAACTGTTTAGACGACCCGCCATTCCTCCGCGAAACCTTGCAAAGTTTCAAGACGAGTGTGTGCGGCGCCAAGGCGAGAGTCACATTTTGAAAAGGAACCGCCCTCCATCCGTTTAGCTCTTGCAATCTTTGTTAAGTCGAATGTGCGCGGCGCTATGGCGAGAGCCCCATGTTGAAAACGTACCGCCCACCATCCGCGGAACACACGCAACCTTTTTAGACGAGTGTGCGCGGAGCCATGGCGCCCGCCCTCAATGCCTGATGCTCTTGCAAGCTGTTGAGACGAATGTGCGTGGCGCTTTGGCGAGAGCCACATTTCGAAAACCACCCGCCCTCCATCCGTGAAGCTGGTTGCAATTTTCCAGCTTCAGGATCGTACATCGTGAGGACGTCTCAGGCGAAACGCCTGGTCCGCCCTACCGAAACGTCTCGGGGTGCGACACGGAGGAGGTATTCCTGAGGAAAAGAATGGAGAAGAGGGAGGAGGAAGATGGAGGTACAAGGAGCGCAACACAACATCCAAAAGCCTCGAGCCGCGGTCCTCCTCCTCGTGCTCCTCCTCCTCGCGGACGACGGCGACGGCGACAGCGACATCGAATTGACGCCCCGACCCTTCCTGGGATGCGCTGTGGCCACAATTCCTAGGGGGATCCAGCAGGGGGGACGAGGAAGCCTCCTGGAAGCGGATAACGCATCAACAATGCAAAACAATACCCCAGACATCCGATGCTTGTCCCGACACTAATTTCCCCCAGGGCTGGCTTTTCCTCCCGAGTATTTTTTTCGTCTGCGCGGGGAATGGCGACAACGCTTTCATTCTTGAGTTTTACAAAAACGTTGGACGTCTGGGACCCTGGATCCCCAAATTTAGGATGCAACTCCTGGGTGGACAAATTCATCATGGGCGCTGGTCTATCCTTGGTCGAAAACCGGCCTAATCAGGCATAGTCCCGCCGAATCCCGCGTAATCCAGCCCGATTTGGCTTAATCCCAGGCCTAATCTGGCCCAGTGCGGCTCAGTGGCCCCTCCGTAGGGCTTCATAGCCGTCAATCGTCTTCGTCTTCACGGGGGCCGCGTCCCCTGGCGCCCCTGGCCCCCCGTCATCCGCGCGCATCCCTCGGGCCATGATCTGCGAACCCCCCTCTCGGACGCCCCCTCCCTCTTGGACTCGACCACACGTTAAGGGTCACCCTCCGCTGGAGTGACCTCTGGTGCGGGCTCACTGGGGCCCCCCGATCGCTGATCGCGATGCGGTAGTGGCTGCATGCGCGCTCGGATTTGGCCACCCCGCGCCACCCTGATCCGCGCACTAAAGGTCACTCTTGCCCAGGGTCACTCGTTGCGTGCAGCCGATGGACGCCCCCGAGCGCCGAAACCTGGATCGGCGACACCGGCGGCGGCGGCGGCGGCGGCGGCGCGAGAGAGAGAGTCAGAGAGCGCGCCGCGCAGCTCCTCGTCGGCCGCGGCGGCGCCCGCCGCCGCGGCGCCGCCCGCCTCAGCCGAGCGCCGGGCTCGCGAGGCGGGAGGGCGCCAACGGCAAGCACACGCACGCACACGCCGGTCCTGGCCAGGCCCGGGTCCTGGGCCCCCCGGGGCCTGAGCATGTCCACGGCCACCGCCTGCCGAGGCCCGTGGAGATAGATCCCACGGGCGTTGGTTGCGTAATAAAAGGGAGGGGGTCTGAACCCTCCCAGACGAGAAGTTTTAGACCCTCCCAGACCATCCATGAAAGGGCGGCCCTTTGCCCAGACCCCCCCGAACCCTCCAAGACAGCTCAAATCAGACCCCCCCCAAAAAGTGACCCCCCCGACTTTTTTATGGAATCCGGAGTATCCTAGGCCTCCCAGGTGGGATCTGAGTAGGTGGGGTCGGAGGATCGCGCCGCATCGCCGATGCATCGGCGATGCGGCTCGATGTGGAGCCCGATTTTCTCCGCGCCGACGTCGCCGATACACCGCCGACATCGCGGATACATCGCCGACGCATCGGTGATGCATTGGCGATGCGGCGCGATCCCCCTACCCCGTCTACAGTCGGGGTTGATTGGAGGACACGCCAGAGGACGCAAGACCCTTTCGAAGGCCACATTGACACAGGAATGTGGAAGGCATGGGCCGCGAAACAGCGAAACACAGGACACAGCGGTACCCTTGATTTGGCAGGGTCGACCTGCCAGTCAGCCTCGAAGGGTCCCATCCAGGAGGCCTCTAGTTATGGCTCAGTCGGCCACGGGCAGAAAGGGCGCAGGAGGAAGGGGGGAAGGCTTCTTCGCAGCACCCCTGCTTCTGAGAAGGCGCGGGCCCTGTCTGTGGATGCGAGGCCCGCGCCTTCTGAGAAGCAGCCTCATCTCCAGAAGCCTTCCCCCCTCCGCCAGCATTTAGGAGGCCTCCGCTTCTGGAGCAGGGCTGGGCCCAAGCGCTGTTCTGCTGGAGGAGGAGGAGGAGGAATCGGCCGTGTTCTGTTTTTCGGTTTGCCAGGGAGGTACAGGAACACAGGTAGGGCAAACCGAAGAACAACACGAAACCAACACGACCAGCAACGGTTCGGTCCAGCCCAGTTCTGGAGAAGCTCCCGCATCTCACACATGCCCTCCTGGCCATGGCCAGAAGGGCACAGACTCCGATCCCTGGGGGCCCAGCGTCGTCCCAGCCGGACTTGGCAGGGTCAGCAGGGTCAGCGCGGGGGGGACCCAAAAGCAGGGCCCATTGAGATTCGATCGATCCGATTCGACGTCCAGGTCGCCGCGAACGATGCGATTCGATCTTGATTTCCCGTCGGTCCGATGCGAACCGATGTTAGCATGGCGCTGCTGTGCAGTCTGGCGAGGCTGATCCGATCCGATTCCGACTCCGTGCCGATGTATCCCGATCCGTCGAAGCTACCGATTCGCTCCGATTCCCCGATTCGATACTGATCTAATCGCCCATTCAGTGCCGATGGGGGCCTGATAGCCTGCCCCGCCCGGGAACGTGTGGATCCGCCATCGGGGGCCTGTTGCCAATCGATCGACGATGCACAGTCAGATCTGATAGTAAGGATGATCGACTTCCCCAAGGGTGCCCTTGCATCTTTGCCTCTTCGGTCATCCTCGGTCCATCCTCAAGCACTTTCGATGGGCAGCCCCGCTCGAAGAGTGGCGTGGGCGTCCTTGGCCCAGGCATCCTTACCGCACATCTTTACTATGTGGGTGGACTGACTGTATTGCCGACTCCAGGGCCATGTTTCCCACCCTGAGCCGGCACCCCCCCTCACGTTCCCCCGCATCGGTGCATATACGGTCGGACAGAGGTACAAGACCGAGGTCGGTTCGGGGAGGGCGCCCTGATGTTCTCCGCGCTTGTCGGATGCTCTTGTGCATCCTGGGGAGGAGGGCACTCCCGAACGTTCTTCAAGCTCGGCGGGTGGAGGGCCTCATGTTCTTGAAGGATGTTCTTCTGTCCTGGGGCCCTTCGGTAGCACACCACGGGAGCCTCGTGCACCCTCGTGGTTTAATCTTTGCAGCAGCGTCGATGAGCGTTGGCAGTCGATGAGGCAGTGCCGATCTAGCGTCGATGAGCGTCGACTCCGCGTCGATCTGCGCCGCTGAGCGTCGATTCCGCAGGAGCCAACACGATGGCACGGGAGGCCCCCCACCTCGTTGCCGCAGCCGTGTCCCGCTGCCCTGGCTCCGGCCGCAGACATGCTCTTCTGAGCAGAGCCTTTCGTGAAGCAGCGGTAGGAGCCTTGTGCTCACACAGGCCGCATCCAGTCCAGTCCAGCCCTGGGCCCGGCCGCGCGCCCTCCCGGCCAGGCCGGGGAGGCGCGGGCACGGGGGCCCCCGCGGGGCCCTCAGGGTCGGCCCGGCCAGGGCACGGCGCGCGGCAGGCTCGCGTCGTGCCGGCGCGTCGCAGCGGGTCCCGCGCGGGTGCTCCAGGTGGAGCGCTGGGGGCGGCCCGGCATCTCGGAGGAGGCAAAGGAACGAGGCACTGCCGTTAGTGCAGTCGTGTGCCGTCGAAATCACGTTCAGGGGCGATCATCCTGCCTGGGGGGCAGTTTTTTTTTTTTTTTTTTTTTTTTTGTTTTCAGAGGAGGAAAAGGTGCCCTCACTCATATCCTTCCCTGGTTGTCCCCTTTTTTGGGGGCCTCCTGCGAGACCCTCGTCGCCACCGCTGGATTCGCCCTGAGTTCTGGCCAGAGCGCGCCCCGGGAGAGGTCCGCGGGGCAGCGGTATCGGTACCTTTTTGGGTTCCCAAGAATCGGCCATGATTCGGCGGCGAGCCAGGGGGGGGAAGTGAGAAGGAGGAGGCCTTCTCAGGAGGCGGCGGGGCTTCTCAGAGGCCCTCGCGCCTTTGAGGGTTTCCCGCGTCTTCGGGGGAGGCTCAGGAACGTTTTCAGAAGCCCGGGGGACCTCCGAGCCTTCTGAGGAGACCCGCCCCTTCTCACTTCCCCCCCAGGCTTGCCGCTGAGAGTGGCCCAGCATCGGCAGAGATGGAACGGCCCGGGGCCCGAGAAGCCGCCGATCGTCTGAGGTCGAGCGATCTGCGCGGTGTCAGACGCCAGCGCCGGGGCCGTCACGGCACGAGCCCGCCGCGCAGGCGTGCGGAACAGTTGGCGCCCCCCGCCGAGGGTCGCGAGAGGCGGCGCGCGGAGCCGCTGTGGACGCCGCTGGCGGAGCTGGCGAGGGGCGAGTACGAGAGTGCGAAGGCTCTCGGAGCCTGCCCGCCATCCCCTCGGAGCCGCCCTCCATCCATCCTCTCCTCCATCCTGTCCTCCTCCCTCCAGCCCCTCGTCCTCCGTCCTCCTCCATCCCCTCTCCCGTCCGCGCTGGGGGGGGGGCTTCTCGCCACCGCGGCCGGAGTCCCCCGGCGAAGTCCTGGTCAAAACGCGCCCACTGAGAGGCCAGAGGGTCGGTTGCTGCTGGCAGAACTGACGAGGGATGTGATACAGCTTGCGTGGAAGGCGCGTGCGTGCGCCTGTCGCCGCCGTTTGGCTCCCAGGGGCCCTTGTTGCCAAGGGCGAGAAAGCATCATCATTCACACTGGCGGCGGAGCTGCTTACGATCTTCAGCATCGTACCGCTGCATCGGGCTCATCTCGTTTCGATTGCGCCGCGGAGCAGGTGCCCTTATTACGGACCTATCTCACGGCCGCCGTGGCCTTGTCTGCTCTTCTCTATCGGTCGAACGTAGACGCATTTACACGGTCCAGATCGAAGGGTGGCTCCTACATCTGCGACGGCATTGGAAGCAATATCCATGGATGGGAGTTCCGTCCGGAGATGCGCATGAGCGCCGCTCATGCCACCACAGACTCCGGGAGTGGAGGGCAACTCCAGCAGGGGCTGTCCGTAGCCGTCCACCAAAGGCAGAGGGCCTCAGAGGCGACGCGTTCGATATCACCATATCGGAAAAGACACGCTTCTGACCGCGAATAGTGTCGACCTGCTGATAATACGATTCGCACATCACTCTTCCCCATCGGGGCCCAGGAAACCAAGGGTTCTGTTCCAGTTTGGGCCGAGACCTCATTGGCCGCTTTTGCGACAGAGTGGTGACTCGATGTTTGGCCCGCAAAAAACTTTGGCGGACAAATGTCACGAAACTTGGCCCGAAACTCATTATGAGCGATGATATGCTTGTACCGCGTATTCTTGGCATGCGCAGGCTCAATAATCAAATGTACTTGATGGTGGTAGTGCCGTCTACATGTAACGTAACCATCTTCGATGACAGCACGGATGCCTTGCTTCTCCAACACGGCCGTGCTCACATCCGCCACAAGAGCAAGGGAGACCCGACCAGCAACGGCTCCTTATTTGCACCCTGAACGTACTGGCCCTGCTACCCCAACAGGAGCAAAGTCAAACTCACGACCAGACACACTTTTGCACCTCCGACGACAGTTCGTGGGGATCAGGGGGAGTATTGCCCAGAGAGCAGAGCTCTTTCTGATACGATGCGTCCAGATGCATCCCCGAGGATGGATGGGACGGCGCCGCCTTCCTGACCGACGGTAAGCTGGAGGACGTCATGCAGACCTTGTACGATGATGAAGCGTACGGATACTGGTCGCTCGTACGAAAAGAGAAATCACACTTGATCTTGACATGATCTAGGAGATGACCAAGGGAGGTGGTAAAGATGAGAGTGTAGCTGAAGGTGTCAAGGGCAGCCGCGTTGTTAACCTTGGCAGCAGAGGGAAAGGCAACGGCGAAACCCTGGGAGGCGAATGCTGCAGCAACGCACCTTGGAACACTCAGCAGCGCAAGGGCGGTGGCAATGGAGCGCCGACATTGGGGGACCGCAAGCGACGTTTCACCGATATCGAAGCACGCTCTAGGTGCAAGGCTTGCCACGAGAAGGGCCGCTGGTCAGGAGGCCGTGGGTGCAACGGCAACCCCCGGATGACTCTGGTAGCATGCGCGGGGGAGCGCTCCGTTACGCGTTCTGTCATGGTATCAGGAGTGGTCTGGATGAGGTAGACGATCTCCGCAGGCCTGCGTGCTCAGGTGGGGGGGGGAGTGAGCATTCGCGCAGCGAGTGCCTCGGGGAATCGACTGAGATTTTTTTTGTCCGGCGCTGCTCTGGCTTAAAATTCTCCTGGGCGCAAGCGGGCCGCCGTGTCCCCAGCGGGGGCCTCCCAGACCTCTGCTGGACAGGGAATCCACGCGTGCTTCCCGGCGCGCCGCGCGCCTCCGGCCGGCGGCCGGGCCGAGGGCCCCGAGAGCTGCAGCTCCGAGCGCCGCCGCAACGGGTGTGTCAGAGAATTTCTCGGCGGCGAGCGTGTATGACGAGGGTGTCGAGGCAATTCCACGTGCGGCGTCTCGGCAGACGTGGTTCGTGTCTTTTTTTTGCAAGTGCTTGACGCGCGTGGATGAGCAATCCAGGGAGCCAGCAGAGGAGAAGAAGGTAACTTCGATGAAAGTGCAGTATGCTTCGAATCGCCGGGCAGAGGCCAATCGTGAGCTCGTCAAGGTAGACCGCGCAATCGCTTCTGAGGAGCCCAAGCCGATCCTCAATGAGTGCGCGAGGCGCGTGGCGGCGATGTCTTGCGACGCTGGTCAGCGAGGTTGTCAGTGAGCTGCGTAATTGGGTCACGGAGTGGAGAGAGGAAGATCTCATTGTTTTCCCGCGCCTTCTGCTTCGACTGACGCGTCGGCGATCCCGCGCCTCCGTCTGATCGACAGGTTTGGCTTGCATTTCCTGTTGCTGCGGCAAGGCGTAGGCCTTGAGTGCTGAGGGCAGGTGCCAGCGGCTTGGGCTCCATCCGGAGTTGATCCACAGACGGCGCCAGATCTTCAGCGGCGTCGGCAGGAACTTTGGCACTTCTACGGCAGGCAAGAGGCGTATTCCAAGTGGGATCGCTGGTAGTCGTGGCGCAGCTAGTGGTTGCGCGGAGTCTCGCGAGTCGGCTGAGATCGACCGCGCGCCGTTACTGCTGTCGCTGCAGGCGCAGGCGTCGTTGGGGTTTGTCGAAGACCTGGCTGGCGACCGAGCCGCCCTGAACCAGGAGGGCGAGGTGGAGTCGCGCAGGCGGGGCTTGGCCACTTCGAGCTGGAGAACGTGTTGGACATCTGCTGCCCCTTGCGCGCGTCTTATCAGGTCCGCGTTGGCGCCGCCGTTGTAAACTTGATCGGTGCCGCCGTGGTTGGCGTGTCGCGCGGTGGCTAGCCGCCGTTCTCTACGAGTGGGCATCCTGGCGACGAGGTGGCGGACAGGCGCCGCGGCGCGCGCCGCGCCGAAGGATGTGCCGCAGCCAGGAGAAAGCATGACTTATTTTCTGTTGCTGACTCTTGGACTGGGGAACTGCAAGGGCAACCCCGACGCTACTGGCGGCGACATCGTGTCTGCTCGTCTCAAGTGGATTGGGTGGCGCAACCCTCGTAGCAAGCTGTCTTGTGCTGGTTCGGGCAAGCGTCTGATGGCGAGAGCCGCCGGGGCGGCGTTCTCGAGCCCGAAGAAGTGTGGCGGGACCTCTCTCATCGACGCCCGCGTAATGAGAGGCCCGCGGGCGATTGGGACCATCGGGGTGAATCCCAGTTTCTTTGACGCAGGTGCGAAAACTTGTCAGGTCGGCCATGCGGCGAAACTATCGGATCCGCCATCGCCGAGGCCAGCGAGCGCGCCGCCTCTGTTATCAGCGCCATTGTCTGCGCATCGGGGAGGCGCTGCTCCGTCGCGGTTCGCTGGGTTGTCAAAGCGTACCTGAACGACGGAGGCGCGCATTTCCGCTTCATTGCCTGGGTGGTCGCGAATGGCGCGCTCGCGCCCGCGTTGGACTGTTCGGCGATCGCCAGCGCGGCCGCTCTTGGTCGCGCGACGCGACGCAGCACGCGGCCGAGAATGGCCGCTGAGATCGACGACGCCTTCGGGCGCAAGCGATGCCATCCCGCCGCCGCCGCCCAGGGCATCTCCGCCTCCGGCGGCGCCGAGAGCCGCGTGGCGATCTCGTTCCGAGGCGTTTGCTCGAGTTCAGAGGCAGCGACCTCGCGACGAGGCGCCCGCTGAACAGCGAGCCCAGATTGCCGCCTCAGAGGCAGGGCTTCGCGTGGGCGTTGATGGAAAGCCCGTCGCGAGGTACGTCTGGGAGCTGATTCGCGCAATCCGTGCTCGTCGAGCGCGTCTTCCAGGGGGCGATCGGCAAGTTCAAATGGCGAGAGTTGATGTACTACTACAAGCTGTGCGGCGAGGTGGGCGCGAAACCCGCGCCGTTTATGCAGATTGCCCAGTGCGCCTCCGAGCACTTCAGCAAATTGTCTTCGAAGACGCCCGGGGCTCCGCTGGTCGCGCGCGGGGCAGGGCGGCCGAGGAGGTTCGGGGGGTCGGCGGGCTCTGGGGTCAAGCGTGCGCAGCTAGCCCTGGCGCCGAAGCGCGAGGCCGAGGGGGGCGCGCCCCGGCTCTTCCGGCCAGCGTCTCCGACGCCGTCGCCGCCGGCGCAGTCTCCGGGGGCCCGCGGCCGGGGCGTGCGGAGAGAAGCGGAGGCCGCTGGGGATTGCGTTGTGGACTTCCGATGCGTTGCCCCAGGGCGACATGGGCGCGCTCGTTGGTCGCCGGCGGGGAGGATTCGCTGCGCTCGTTGATCCCGCCTCCTCCGCAATTGAGGGCACTTTAGAGGGCTCGGGCAAGAGGGGGGCGGGGTGATTGGGGAGGCAATTTAAAGTTTGAGGCATGTGATGCCGAGGCGAAGCCCCCCAGGCTGGAGGGGTGCCAGCGTGGGTCGCGACGAGAGCGGGGGCTAGGCGAACGTCAAGGACCGCATTCCCATGCGCGAGTTCCGAGACGCTCAGGGGCGCGATGGGGCATGTCTTCGCGCGACCCCCGCGGGTCCCTCAGGGCGTCACAGCGCGGGGCGCAAGCTCGGCCTCTCTGCCTGGGCGGGCAAAACTTGGCCGCGATGTGCCCCGAGAAGCGGGAGCTTCGCGCCGATGGCATCATCGAGGTGGACAAGGACGACTACATCATCAAGGAGTGTCTCGCGCAGGTCGACGCCGCCAGCGGCTCTCCGCCTGGCGCTGCGCCCGCGCTCGCGTGCCGTTCCTCTGTGGGCGTGGTTCTGCGTTTCATGACTGGCGTCGTGTTCGCGGCGGCTCCTGCGGCGGTCGCAGAGATCTCAAAAGGGGATCCTGTGCTGCGCCGGGCTTGGGATGCGCGCGCGCGGAAAAGGAGTTCGCCGAGTGCATTTCTAATGTCGTCGTCTGCGAATTTG